TAATAACTTGGAGTCGAGCTTGGCTCCCCTTTACCTAGGGGTACCCGCGCCCGCCCCAAGGCCCGAATCCAGGAGAAATCAAGGAATTTTTGGTATTAAACTCATCGGAAGGTTCGAACTTAAGACCTTTAAGTCAGTATGACCAAGAGACCCCAAGCTATTGCCAACTGGACCGCCCTTTGGGGGTGAAGTCTAGATCTCCTTCTAAAGAGTTCACAAAAAGACCCCAAAAGTTTCTTCCAAAGTCTTATTGAATATCTGGGAATTTCTTTCTAACCATATGCACATAAGTGACACAAACAAAAATGCTTTGACTGAATTCATCAAAAGGATTTTAGCTTTCCCTTTAAATCTATGGCCAGGTAATAATCGAGTCTACCATTCTTGGCCGATGAGCCCTATAACCCAAGATAGGTTGAAGTAATTAAAATATTCCACTCTTCCCTTCCGTAGGAGCATTGAAATAGCACATCCCTATTGCCACCAAAAAAAGAAAAGAAAAAAGATAAACCCCACATCCCTGGTTTTCTTCTGAATTCTGCACAAAGGACACCAATCAGGCTATAGGCATCAGTTCAGACTATCTTTTTTCTTCTCCAGTTTTTTCAGCAGTTGTTAGCCCCTTGTGGAGGAATACTTAGAACACTTATTAATAATGTATCAATGATTAGTTTTTTAAAAATACTTAACTTCTACGAACAAATTGATTTAAAAATGAAAAATTATACTGAAAAGATTCGGGTCGGGGATCAGGTTTGGGGGGAGGAAATGTGTCCTAATCACTGTCCATATCACCGAAATAAAATTTTAAAATTATGTGCTAACACTGTCTCCATTTCAAACTAGGATTTTCCACTCCATTTGAGGTAGGTCCCATATGTATTTTTGTCGTCTCTACGAGAGGTCATGCCCCATGTTTGATAAGGTAACTTGAGAAAACTACATTGCTTCATAATGGAGAATAGACCATAGCATAGAAGCAAATAAAAGCAAATTGAGAAGGTACATTTGAGAAAGTGATGTTAGAGTGTTGCTTACGCCTTTAGCGCTTCATCTAGTCTGAGGCACTCTGATGGAATCCAAGCGCGATCCCAGGTCGGAGGTGTCCTTCTGATTGCAGTCTTGATACCACCCATTGGATTGATGTTTGCAATCTACACACAAGAATCTAATTTATACTAAAAAAATGTCCTTTTTCTAAATAAGAACATCGAAAACAGAAGCACAAAGGATTAAGCCTATGTAGTATTTAAGTTAAAATGTTACAAGCTCACCGGGCAGTCGGAACCAAAAGCTAAGCATGCTTTGCAAGTTAACAGTGATCTAAACAGGAAAGATTCTTTCTGAGCCCTCTGTGTCCCAAGTTTGTTTGTTGCAGACTCTGCATCATCCAGAAGGTGTTCTGGCTGCCAAGAATTAGATTAGATCGTCAATATTGTTGATGAAACTATCAAAGTAATGCTGAATTACCAATGTGCTAAGTAGTAAAGTTGAAATTGAACTGTTAATCAGACTAAACGAAAGGCTTATTAAAATTCAAATGCTTTGGCCAACTGGTAACCAACGGAGGAACAAAATGAAGTTAAAGACGAGAAAAGGAAAAACGGTTTTGACAATGAAAATAAAGTATTAAAGATAAACTGGTGCAGATAATGATTTCTACAAAAATCAATACATGTAACGGCTCACAATCTTGCTGCACGGAGTATTTTGAAGTGCTTTGATTACATCTTATAATATCTACTTAGGTCAATCAAAAAGTGGTTGCACCTTTTCACCTTCTTTCTTCCAGGAGAATGGAAGCCCTCTATGTCTTTTACCCATTACAATTTGTCCAAACTCTGTTCATCATACGAGAAAATTGATTTGCAGCATAACTTTCATAAAAAAACAAATTTTTCACTAAAAAAAATTTACAAGTAGGTAAAGTTTTATACTGAAACTAACAAACTACATAAGCTATCAGAACAATCATGCAATATTGAAAAACGTAGGACTGTGCTTGGACAGCATAATCACTGACACCTAAAGTGAAGAAATAAAAACACTCTTGGCCACAGCATAAGCTTTTCATGGTGAATAGTGTCAACTTCTCTTCTTTTTACTTTTTATTTTTTTAAACTTATTTGGTTGATATGATTCAAGCCCCACAGCAGAAATATCAATCCTTATCTGAGAATTTGAAGAAAAGGCGAAGGCGAAAGCGATGGAAACAAACACGTCAAAAGAAAGCCTGTGAGAGAACAATAAGAGACCTGGGCTGAAGCAATAATCCCTAGTTTACCAAATCGTTCAGGAGTTCCATGTGCCAAATGTTGAGCATGCTCCACCTACTCATGAGAAACAAAAAGTAATAATGAGATAACTTTATCACGACATTATTTGGCTTCGGTATCTCTTAGAATGCATTACCCTAAATCTTCGATCCCTCGGTCCATTCGTGGAAATAACAGATTCATAGATATCAAGGACCATATCATTTGCTTTGTCACCTATGGCATGAATAGCAACCTAAACAAAATTTAAGGTAAACATATTGAATCACCATGTTGCAATCATGTTTATTTAGATGAATCATAAACAATGGCAGAAGAAGGGCAAAAAGACCTGAAGCTTAGATTTATCTGATGCCATGGTCATGTTAAATAGGTTTTCGCGTTCTGTCATTTGCATTCCATAATTGTCAGGCTCATCAACGTAAGGCTGCACAGTTGGTACACAAATAGTTACTTCATAACAAGCAACATAATTTGGAAACAATGAATTAGAAGAGCTTCAGTAGACAGATAGATAGAACACGTTGCAGGTACTTCTGTTTCAGAAAAGCTAATGTGATATTTATCATCATAAAGTAGCAAGTACCAAACAAAAAAGTAGCCCCCAAAAAAAATCTGAAAATGGTGATTGACCACATGATCTCGACTTTAGCTGTGGACTTCAAATGCATGTTTCAACTATCAATATATCACACTCGGACGCGTTCCCGGTGAAGCTCTCACCTCATGAAACAAAGCAGTACGTGAACCTAAAGACCCATCAGCAAAACCCTTGACGCCACCCAAGTAAATCCATGGGCTCACAACGTGTCCCATTTTGTGAATAAGATCCTGGAGGGGATAAAAGAAATGTTGGAAGCAACAATAAACAAGGGGAGAAACTAAGGCAATAAAAGTGATTGAAGGAGCCTGTACAGGTGAGGTTGTTGCAGAGTCATAAGCAGCACGAGAAAATTTGGTCAAAGTTATAGAAACATAAATGAAATACACAAACAATCGATTAACTGTTTATAAAATTTGGTGAGCTCAATCCCAAATGAAGGGGGAAAACAAGCCTCCAACACTATTCTAAAAGATATAACAAAAGTACATATAGCTGAGCCTTTCAATAAACAAGCAGCCATCATATTTCAATATGGTAGACTTATTTTGTAGAAATGAGAATGGATTATTAAAAATACCAAGAAGTTATCAAACAGATTATTTTAAAAAACATTTTGAAGCAACTTGTACATGAATATAGTGACATTTATTCCTTTCAGATGATGAATTAGAATATGTTACATTAAAAAAGAAGTACAATTAATCACTTTGGCACAAAAATTTAACATTTCATTCATTATTAAACCTGTAAAATGAATAAACTGAATGGTGCTGGGTCAGCTGAATGATTGAAAATCAACACGTGACAAATGAAGAATCCCCCATCAAAGAAATGTTAGAACTTTTTATGCTGGAAAAATAAGCATAAAGGAGATTAAGTAATTTAAAAGTAGTTCAAGTTCACAGCAATTATAACATGGATAACTAGACAAATAAATTCCTTTACAAAAATTTTCATCATAAGGAAGCCCATATCTTTGTTGATTTGCATGTTTATGCTCGTCTTGATGCTTCTTAATGTAAAATTAACCAGCACATCCAGAAAAATTTGAATATATGTTCCAGATAAGAATAATCAAAGTCAGCAATGCAAACTTGGGAAATATGATAAATATCAACTAAAAAACATTCTTTTAGATGTCATACATGTAGAGATGACCATGTTTCCATTGGAAAAAATAAGCAAACCCTGATCATCATCTTCTCTGAAGAATCTGCCCACTGATACACATCTGCCAATTTAAATATTATTGACACTTAACTACGTGAGAATAGAAAGCAAATAAATAATCATATCTATCTATTGTGAGTCCCACTGCTGTCTAAGATGACATTTGAGGAAGCAAACCAAAGCTAGTCAAAATAAAAATGAGGCCTGAACTATAAATTTTCTGAAATAGGGAACGCAGTTTTGGCATGGTTTTCCATTGTAACAATACAAAAATTACCTGAAAAATCTTCCCATGATAACTTCACTGATTCTCCTGGATAATATCTTCCAAAGTCAACTATCGTTGTAACACCTCTAGCCAGAGCAAGACTACTGACCCTTAGCAATGCTTCTCTTCTTTCGTCCACTGAAACCTCTGGAATAAAAGGCAGGACCAACTTCCTAGCAGAATCAATCAGCAATCCAGTAGGATCTACAGAGTGAAGGAAATGCTCATTAAGATCAAATTCACTACTGGAGCGTAAATAAAGCAGAAGCAAACAGAAAAGGAGAACTTTACGTGTACGGACAAGAAAGCATAAACAATGGTTTCTGAATATCACTAACTTTGTCTCAAAGCACCAGTAGTTTCAGAAGAATATCAATGTGGCTGAATGTACCAATTTAAAGAATTAATTTCTTTTCCACAAACTTCGGCTGGTTTTTCTTCATAAAAAGAACGAAGGAAACAAAATTTCATTGTACAATGAGCACGCTTTTTTAAAGGCCTTTAAAACAGCAGATGGTACAACAAGCATGCGGCAAATTTTGTGTTTTAAATATTCCTTAAATACCAAAAAGAACAGGTTTAGTCTGTTTAGCTTTGTTCCATTATCAATAACTGTATAAAAAAAGTACACATAGTTAAATTCATATTTAAAAGCAAATCAGCGTGACCTTAATTGTACTAAATTTTTACACGTTCAAGTTTGCAAGACCAAATGACTCTAATCCAAGTAATTCATTTAACATTTTAACAGGTAAAACTTAGATAAAAATTCAAACCCCCCCTGAAACAATAAACCACAAAGAATAGCATATATGTCGAGCTAGATTCCATATGTAGGATCCACAAATTTGTCTTGACCACATTGAAGTATCTAAACACTATAGAATTTTTTCTTTCTTTTTGTGTGTGTTTAAGATGAGGAAGTATTTTTTTTAACTAGTCTGGTAATATAAAAGATGCCCTGTCCTCGTATTTCTCTGTATTCATATCAACGGTACTGTATGACAATACCTCCACCAGTAGTTTTCACTATTGTCCCGCCTTCAGGATCTTCTGTTAAATTCGTGATACCAGCCAACTTAAGTGTCACATTATTAGCCAAGCTCATGTGACCATCAATCCTTGACAGAAGAACCTGTAAACCAAATTCTGAATGTAAAATCACACATGATGTGTTTCGTAGTAGTAGTCACATTAAAGAAAGAGATGACTTACAGGGTTAGATGCCGTGACATCATCAATCCAAGAAGCCATTGGCCATTCACCTCCCCAAAGATCATTATTCCATCCACCACCCAATACCCAATTTCCTTTCTCAGTGTCTGAATATTTTTGTAAAGCTCAAATTAGAAGGCTCTACATAGTCACCACATACATGATACAAGCCCACAATATCACAATCACTTATTTATAAGTTTAAAACACAGCATATGTTTATTTTATTTTGTAATAGAGAAAAGCAGGATAGCACCATCTAAGGCGGCCAAAGAGAGATCCAGCAAAAAACGAGCATCAAGAAACAAAGAAACTAAGTAACACCGCACTTAAATCCCCAAACAGATTCAATAAAAAGCTCTAGACCATATGAACCATAATTCCCTTGAGAGAGAACTCCTAACATTGACAAGAAAAGGATTTATAAGAGAATAAAAGGATTTCTCATAATGAGGAAAATGCTGTTGGAATTGTATTTCTTTCGGCGTGCCTAATAGGAGTCTTTTATNCTTCCAAGAAAGTGTTCCAAACTTCAAACCCTAATGGGTACAAAACCAACTTCAAACCCTAATGGGTACAAAACCCTAATGGGTACAAAAAACTCTATTGGGCACAAAACCCTAGCTCTGATACCATGTAGAAACTAAGGTTTGAGAGAACCAGATAGATCTTATTCTCATTACTGAAGTCTATATATATATAGACAAATATACAAGGTTGACTTATTCCTAGAAGGGGAAGGTAAAGGACAAATGAATACATATTATTTACAAGAATGTAAAATATAATAATATATACTCTAACAGAAACCATAGCCAATATATCTTTTATACATTTTTAGTTATTAGCTTATGCTCAAGAAAATATAATTAATTATGATAACAACCTAGTGGTATGTATTAAATATTACAAATCTTCCTATAAATTTAAAAATTAATTTTATTAGAAATCATTAATAACCCAGTCTACCCAACTCTTTTTTTTATATAAGAAACAGTTTCATTGATGGTATGAAATCACAAAGGGAGAGAAACAACTCCAGTCCAAAGGAGTTGAACAAAACCTCTCCAATTGGAGAAAAGAGATTAGAAGTTGTAAAAATGAAAGAGTGGAGACAATTTACACCAAAAAAACTCGGTAAGTTTTCTTGTAATTGAAAGATTTTTTGAATAACAATAAAACTTTGGTTGAGTATTCTACGAGATTATTCTCTTAGATGTAAAAATGAAAAAGTGTAGACAATTTACACCAAAAAAAAAACTATATAACTTTTCTTGTAATTGAAAGATTTTTTTTTTCAAGAAACAACTTTTTATTGATATATAAACAGGAGAAAAAGTTCAAGAATACAAACTCTCATAGGAGTGAGAGAAAAAGGAAAAAATGAAAGCAAAATATAGGCTCAACAGAGAGCAATACAATCAACATGAGAGTGATATCAAAAGCCAACAAAAGAAACAATCTAACTTCAAACAAAAAGATCCACCAAGATGTGATGACACAAAAGAGAAATTTTAGAGGTCTTTAACTTCGGGTTCTCCACCCTTGTACCTTTCTTCTTTTCTTTAATTAAAAGTTTTTTTTCTTATTAAATAGAAGTACAAAGGAGATGAGGCACTAAATCCATTGCTTAAACCAGAACTGAGCATAGGATAGCAGCCATTTCCTAGAAATATGAACTTTCAACTTGAGATTAAGGCCCATGAAATATTGCAGTTTCACCAAGAATTTCAAAGTTATATGAAGGAAACACCAGTTTAAGCCAGAAGAATGGAAAACATAGTCCCAATGTCTTCTAGTGAAATCACATCTCAAAAAGGTATGTACTTGAGATATTCACTATAGTTTTCACAAAGGCAACATGTTTGAGGTTGTAGGTTGCAGGAGACGTTCTTCAACTGGAATTTAGGAGTCCCAAGTAAAATATCCCTCCAAGGTAAAGTATTAAAATGTCCTGAGCTCCAGCAATCCCACCCAAACAAAAACCTATCATAAAAATTTATTTTGCTTTTTGTATCTTTTCTGAACCAACCAAATGGCTAACACTCATGTAAAAGCATTCATTGTCTAGTAAAGCTACCTAGAACCAACACGCTAAATACAAATGGAAATTTAGGAAGTCCGAGAAGCATTGATTGACAAACTCATATGCATACCAGGTGGCTGAGAACATCATACATTTATAACCAACACTTGAAGACATTTGGTACGTACGAGAACATTTTTCTCTTGATTCGTGAACTATATAAAAGGGAGGAAATTACTTCTAGCTGCTTCTGCAATCCTTCTCACAAACTCGTTTTTTTTATTTACACCATGAAGGTTCACTTGCTTCATCTGATACATATGAGGATAACCCAAAAACAAGAAAATAACTAATCACTAATCAAAATTGTGAGACATTCATAAAAGGGCATATAGAGATTCCCTCGAAAACAAAACTGAAAACTGTTATCAGCTAAGAATAAGACACGGATTCACTCAAACCTGCAGTCCTTGATAAATTAAGTGCCCATGTGAATCAATGAATCCAGGAACCACAATTTTTCCCCCAAGATTCAACTCTTTTGTCCCTTGTCCAACCAAGTCCTGTATTCACATAAATGATGCAATACTACATAAGAGAACGGAAAACATATTCCAACTTCTCAAAACTAAGTAGGATAACAATCATAGGGTATCAATATTCATTGGTTCCACCTCCAAAACAATTAGCAATGAGAGGAGTAACGCATATTTATTATGAACTTTTGTTAAATCCCTCTATCTTTTTTGATGCAAAGTACCTCCTAGTTGCTTGCCAGATAAATAGAAAAGTAGAAATGACTTGGCCAGAGTTCCATGCTACTCTCACCACATTTGAGAACACATGCTTCCATCTTAATTTGGTAAGCAACAATCCATAACTGTCTAATGGTAAATTGCACAAACCATCCCTAAAGTAGATGGTGGTAACAATTACATCTTTTAAACTTTCAATCATAAAAATTAAACCCTTAAACTTAACCTGAAATCCTTAACCGGCCCAAGCAGCTTAAAACATAGAATTCATAGAAGGGGGGAGCAAGCCAGTTTGAAGAGGATAATAAACTAAAAGTCAAGTTCATTATTAGCAATAACAGCTCGAGAATTAAAAAAAAAAAAAATCAATAGAATCTAGGTTCGAAAGCAGCCCAAAACTCTTAAACCACTAAGCTGAAATCTCCCAGTTCCCAACTACAGAACTCCATGCGGGTAAGAAAGGTAGGGAAGAAGAATAGGAAGAGGTTGAAGAACCTGAAGAGCGGAGTAGCTGCCGACACGGAGAATCCTGCGGTTGAGAATGGCCATGGAATCGGCGAAAGGAAGAGAGTCATCGCTGGTGAATATGAGTGCGTTTTTTACTACCAAATCGGCGACCAAACACGAAGACGACGACATGGCTGTTGGAGCTTGGATTCCTGCTCAAATGTGAAGATCAATGGCTGATGGAAACAACTTTGAAAATTTGGAGCCAATTGGTTTGACATCCACTCCTTCCTTCGATAAAATTCTTTCTTTTTAACAGGGATGAAATTATTACAAATTCGTTACTTGAGACTACTTTCAAAAGTGTTATTTTAACGAAAAAATATTTAGAAAATAGGTATTTAATCTCTCTCTCATGGCAGTGAAATTGGGATTCGATTTCACTCGCTTCCTCCTCGCCGGCGAAATCGGCTGCCGTCTCGTTCGTTCGTCGTTCCCCAAATTCGACTCTCAGTGCACATCGCCAAGCTTTTCTCGCTCCGAGCCGTTGGATAGGGATCGGAGAAACCTCCGGCCGTCGAGATTGTCAAACAAAACGAGATTCCAGAGCTGCGGCTTTGTCAAAGCCAATTTGATGATCTCTGTGCTTTCAGAACTACTTTTAATTTTGTTCATTTTAGTTCCATCCTTTTCGAAAGTTTAGCATTTTGGCTTCATTTATTACTATCTTTCATCGTGGTGTTTCAACATGGCCATGGCCCTTTCAAATTACCTTAGATCTTAGAAGGGAACAGCGAACAATGGGACATTCATTGTCTCAATAAGATCTATACAAATTCACCTGACCTGAATCCATAGCAACATTGCCATTATTGTAATGTCTGTTTTGTTTGCATAACCCATAGATGACCGAGAAATTATTTGCATTGTCCCCGTCCCCAGCCTCGACGCAGGGGAGAAAGAAAAGGAATGCAGTCTAACACGGTCTATATGATGCAGGTTACTTGATGGCAACTCCCTTTTGTTAGTAAGCAAACCAATAGATTATCGAGAGTTCTTTCCTTGGAGCTTAATACTTGGTTGGATGTTGATGTTGTTGCCGATGCCGAGTTCACTACAATGGGAGTTGGGATTTGTAAGCATCATGCCCGGAAGCGGATGGAGTTATCGGATAGAACCTCATCGAGAACGAGTACGCCACAGGAGACAGCAAGTAGTCGTCATGTACACAGGGAGACCAGCTATCATCTCCTCCCACACCCATGTGCTGGTGGTCGAGATGAACCTGCCAACACCATGACGAAAATAAGAGTTCAGAATGTAAGGGATGAGTAGAAGCCAACAGAAGGATCAAAATGGGGAATATCGAAACGATCACGTTACGACTAACAAGCTACTCATAACATGGGTTAAACCAGCACATTCTCAGTTTGGATGAAACTGAAATAACTACCTCAATGTCGTCTCCGTTGACAAGGTCATCATTGTGTACTGCTCGATCGAGCTCTGCAGTGGAGTAATAGCTTGCACTCATTTGCATTGGCGGCGAGCTTCTGTAAATTGAGGCGTAAATTCCAACACCATCCTTGTTTTCAAAAGTTACCCACCTGATATCTGCCCTGCCTGAAGATTCTCCAGGGACAATGTATGGAACATGCATTTCAGACACATTCTTCTCATAAACTCCAACATGAGCAGCTGCTTTTCGATCGGGATAACACTCGAACGGCCCTCTTCCATACCATCTGACCCGGTCCACAGATTTATCTAGATGAAATTCGACTCCCACACGGGGCAAAGGAGGAAGGTTTGGGCTTGGTTGTACATTGCAGTCCACAATCACATCCCCAGAACCATAAATTGTGTAAATCATATCCACTTGAATTAAGGCATCTGATTTTTCTGATGCAGAAGAAGAAGCCCACTGCCTATCACTCCCGACGCCGAGGAAAATGACGGCGACTTTCACAAAATGGTCTGTTGTGCTAAGTATGGAACATCTTTCAGCAGTGAAAGAGAGGGTATCAATATGGGCAGCTTTCCACAAGGATAAATAACTACATGAACCTCCACCTTTGTCGTTATCGGTAGGCGCTCGCCAGAAGGAAGGTATGATGCCTTTAATTATTAGAGGAACTCCTTTAACCTATAACAATTCAAACACTCAACATCACCACTCCTTAGTTCCCTTAAAGCTCAAAAGACTTGTCAAGATAGAGAGTTTAAAAAGGGGGTGCTTCATTTCATATTCAACTTCTGAGAATGCCTTGTGAAATTCAAAATACCCAGAGTCATATAGTACAAATCCAATCATATACTATATTACCTTCCAGCTTTCAAGAGTTCCGGTTTGAACATCCAATTTAATCTCCCATAAGTTCTGCTGGTAGACACGAACCGTATCCCCATGAATTTCACTAAGTAAAGTAGCACTAACATTCTTGATGGACTGCAAATCAATGTGAACCTTTTTCAGTTATTTATACAATTGGAATAGCAAATTCTCTGACCTAGTATTAAGCAGTGTATATAGGCAATTACGTGAGGAAAAAAATCTCGTTTCGTTGGCAACTGGACTTGTGACAATGAAACGATGTGACCAGCTTCGACCCATCGTGTCGGGCGCTGAAGTTTCACAGATACAGTTAAAAAGAACTCCAATGCAGGTGATGAAGCCCATAGATCATACCAAGGACTTGATTGCCATTCAATATCGTAACTTCTCTGAGGTCCTAATACAGGAAGAGATAAAGTTCCATTTCCAAGTTCATGACCATCCCCATAAATTCTCCAACTGAACTCCAAGTCCTCTGTTGTTGAAAAAAAATGACCATTCAGAACCTGTAAAATGGAAACTTAATGTCAAACATATCTCTCCAAGGATCAATAAATGATGAAATAGCCTAATAGTTAGGCATCTGAAGACCTGAAGTGTTCCATCCCGTGATGAAATCTTGATGGGCTGGTAAAGATACTTGACTTCTGAAAATTGAGTTTCGCGAAGTCAAAAACTGGTCAGTAAACATAAACATAAATCCTGATTCCAAAAGCGTCGCTAATCATGATATAACGAATAAGATGATTATCGAGTTACCATGTAGTGCAGGATGGGGAGTTCGATCTGGCCATGTCACGCCATTGAGACAGAAATTTAAATCATTTGGGATATCCCCAAATTCACCTCCATATGCCCATCGCTTCCTGCCATCGCCAACCTCCTTCAGTAGTGCCTAGATCAAAAAGTAAAACCTTTGAAACTTATGCAAAGATGATGGTTAGAAAGTAGTTTGCAGCAGATAATTCATAGCTAGAACAAATAAACAATTAGTCTCAAACAAAAACTAGAACATGATCGGTGTCCAAAACCTGGTCAACCCAATCCCAGATAAACCCTCCTTGGAGGCCAAAGGTGTTGTCAATTGCTTCCCAATATCTGTGGAGATTCCCAGTGCTGTTTCCCATTGAATGTGAGTACCTATTGTTTGTCAAGATGCAAATGATTAATAAAAACCCAACGAAAAATGTCGTAAAATCATTGGTTCATACAACTTACTCGCAAAGTATCAAAGGACGAGTTTCGTTGGGATCATTAGCAATCTTGACCATGTCCCATACACGCATGTACATAGGACAAACTATATCAGTAGAAGAGGTTCTAGATCCTCCTCCTTCATAGTGCAACACTCGGGACGAATCCTTTCCCCGAATCCACCCTAATTTTGCATCCACAAGATATATAGGCCTTGTCAAGCATCTGCTTCGAGTAAAAGCAACTCATGAAAGGATATAATTACCAGCAAGAGCAGAGTGGTTGGGACCATATCCAGCTTCATTTCCTAAGGACCAAGCTATAATGCAGGCATGGTTTTTATCTCTTTCCACCATTCCTATAACACGATCTAACATTGCAGATGCCCAACTGGGTTCCAAAGTTGGATGCTTCACATGTCCAGAAAGATCGAAACCGTGTGTTTCGATGTTGGCTTCGTCTATCATGTACATGCCGAACAAATCGCACAACTCGTACCAACGAGGGTGTTGAGGATAATGGCTGTTTCTCACGGCATTGATATTGTTTTGTTTCATTAGGACCAAATCCTGCAACAACAAACGACTTGGACTTACCATAAAGTGAACCGTCACTTCTGACCTATAACTTATGCCTCTTTAGCATAAGAAATGAAGAAAAGTTAAAAGTTCAGTTTATAACCTTGCTACAAAGGTGCAATTAAGACCTTCTAATTGGTCAAGTTTCTTCTTTTTTTTTTGTTTGAGTTCATTATGTTGGATGCTTTTAATTAGTTGTATTTAGGTACTTTGTTACTAAGTTTAAACATTTTTTATCTACTCGCTTTTGTGGCTAGATTTCACTATTTTTGTTATTAGGTTTGGACATGTCTTTGTCATGATTTCTGAGTGTTTTGTTACCAGAATATTGTTTGATTTATTGGTTGGTTTACGGACAATTTCTTAATTTAGTTTTTAGAAGGTATTAATTGTCATGTTTATTCAAGTTCATGAATTAAATTGATGAAATTAAAAGTTTAAGGTTAAAATCGACTCAACCACCTAATTTCAACGGCCAAAGGAAAACAGAGGAGGCATCACCTGAATCATGCAAGACTCTATATTCGTCTTCCCGAGACGTGGATGATGCTCGTGCCTATTCACACCTCTGATTACTACTGGACACCCATTGACAAGCAGCTGTTTTGGAGCTTTCCTAATACTTCTTATTCCAACCAGACACGATTCGCAGTCAACGATCCGATCTGACGAGTCTTTCAGAAGAACAACAAGAGTGTAGAGATTTGGCTGTTGATGAGGGGAAAAGGAAGACCAAAAAAGTTAAGATACAGTGACAAAGAAAGAGAGAGAGAAACTAGCAAATTAATGGGAATCTCAAGTACTTGCTCTGCAGACCAAAGCCTAGGCTTTTCCAATCTTCCCCCAAGGACGTAACCATGGAACCCCAAGGCTGTGCCAGGGAGCAGAGTAAGCTTAACATTAGCCACATTTGACGAGAGTAGGTCGACATGGCTTTCGTGATTGTTGTTGTCCCATGTTCCAGAGTCGAATAATACCGCTTCTAACTTAAAGTCATTAAGAAAATTTTCCTTGCTTGCCTCAAGAGAGCTGTCAATTTTCACTTCAACCTATAAGATGGCAGACATGTTGCTGTGATGCTCATGAAGTGTGAGAAATTTATGACATCAAACGTAACAAAACCAATATGCCACTTCATGGAAAAAACTATAGCATACAATTAAGTTATAAACCATTCATCTAATTTGGTTAAAATACTACTTTAGTCCCTCTAGTTTGGAACTTATTCTACTTTAGTCCTTGTACTTCCCATAAATCTTAAAATTAGTTCCCACAGTTTGTTTATCTATGGTTAACTTTTTCTAAAAAAAAAAAATTGCCTCTATTAGCCTCCCCTAAAAAATTTGGAAACATGTTCACATCGTTAATTTTTTGAATAAGATATGAACTTTTCATTGATAAATGAAAATGAACAAAATTGTTCAAAGATATAAACTCCTAAAGGAGTGAACAAAAAGAATAATTAAGATAAAAGGAAAAAAACCATGAACCATGAAAATATTCCCATCGTTAATGGAAATTAATATTATTTTCTGTCAAGTTAGATAGAAATTAACTACAAAACTAACGACGAGGACTAATCCTCCCCAAAAATATAAATGGAGAAAGAAAAAACATATCAATTTAAACGAATCTTACCAAGAACATACCTGTATATCAGCATATGAATAATCCTCCCCAGCTTTTGATTTGAAGAAGTAGTCCCCTATGAACACCTACGTACAAACAAATATAAATATACAAATGAAAATACTGATCAACAATCAAATATCTCATATCATATCTTTTTTTAGTTTTTAGTTTTCAAAATTAGGGATTGTGAAAAACGTTGTATTTTAAGTAGATAACAAAACAAAAGAAACACATGGAAGATTCTGTTTTCGACAGAAACCTGAGGTTTGGCCATGAGAAGAACGTCGCGATGAATCCCGGAGAGCCACCACTGGTCTTGATCCTCAAGATAAGAACCATCACTCCATTTTATAACTTGAACAGCAACAACATTCTTGGACTTTGATCCACAGGGATGGCAATATTCTGTTATTTCAAACTCAGCTGGTAGTCTACTGTCCTGACTGACCAAACAAAAATGAATGAGAGGACACTCTAGAAAACGTTTTTAAAAGTAGTAATAAAACAAAGATAGTGTTTACAAGCTTAATTTTCATAAAACGGGAAACAAAACACAAAATGAAACTGCTCTAAGTATTCAAATACATTTTAACAGCAATTTTCATCTAAAATAAGAGAAAAACGAACACAAAGGAGATACTATCAAGGGACAATACCATCAAAGACAATAACAATATTAAAAATAAAGTTGTCTTAAAACTTCATAGTGATTTTTTCTTTTTACGAGAAACTGAACTTTTAATGAGAAAAATGAAAAGTGACAAAATCCAAAGGGCATACCAAAAAATAACCCAAAGAAAGGAAGTTCATCTCATGAATTGGACTCTAATCCAAAATAATAACACCTAGCTAAAAATAAAAATAAAAAACCGACCCCAAAGTAAAGTATTAAATCTAATAATCTTCCAAAAATACCTCAGGATCTCCCCGCCTCCCTAAAGATACTATTACTTCACTCAATCCAAATCCCCACAAAATAGCAAAGAAACAAGCCTACCTCATAAATTTTCCTATCCAAGGAGGATACAACAGAACTTCAAAGTGATCATTTACCTATACCCGACGAGATTCCCATTTATCCACACAAAAAAGGCAGAATCAACAGCTTCAAAGTGCAACAAAATTCTTCGACCTGTCAAATACAAACTGTTTATGCATCAAATCAAATATAATATTGGTGATTAATGTTGTGGGTATTGTTTCTTATCTTTTCAGGAAACAGAAAAATGAAGAAACAAAGGGGAAAAAAAACCTTTCCATTCTTCTGGAAGATGGAAATAAGTTCTGTAGCAGCCTGTAGGATTGTCCTCAGGAACATGCGGCGGATCGACAGGGAAGGGATAGACAACATTGGTGTAAATTGGCTTATCAAATCCATGCATCTGCCAATTTGAAGGAACTGTTCCAATTTGTCAAGCAATAAAAAAGTTTATCAGACAGAACTACATATGTTTGTCACACATTGTTTGAACTTTGAAGAAGGAAAACAGATGTTCAATCTCCCTCTTTTGTTCTCCTAAACGTTGGTTATGCAGGATACATTTAACTTTCTTTCAATTCAATTCAGGTCCCATTTGATAACTATTTTATCACACATCATTTCTAAAAACTAAAAACATAATAGTTATCACGGGGCCTCGATTTTGATAAACCAATCCATCTTGTTGGTGGTTTGAACTTGAACCCGGGACTTTGGCGGGTATCTCCAGACATTGTTAAATTCAGTTAAAGGAAAGGATGGTTATCTAATCTAATACCTAACTGATGTATGTCTTAAAAATTATATCAGAGCATTGAAATATACCTGGCAGAGTTGTCCATTCAGAATCCTCAAATGAACTTTCATGGAAATCCACAGGAACGCTGGTTGGACTAGCGGCCAAGAAGAATTTCCAGTAACCAGATAGAGACTTGATGAAAGGTAAATCCTTAACCCAGAAAGCAGCACAATCAAGAGCACTGTGAACAGCATCGTCGTTCCAAACAGCCGATTTCGACACCAGAAAATCTACTTTACTACGGTCTTGCCAGTACTTAATACATCCTAATCATACACAAAAAACATCAGAACTTTCTGAAATAAGTTGGCTGGAGTGGAGCAAAATCTGCTAAACTAGCAAAAGAATGAATAGATTTTGGGGAAGAGCACTCAAATGTTGATGAGTTTAGATTTGCCTTAAAAGATTCATACATCGGAGTGTAAATGAACAATATTTTTCTTCATCTAGGTAATCTCACTAGCAAACTGGTTACATCAAAATGATTAGAAGTATATTTCATTGAAATATACCTTTGTGCTATAAAGAAATGGTCAAACAACAAGAATTAAAACACGTAGACAAGAGTGAAGCCAGAAATTTCATATGGGAGGCAAAATTATATACTCTAAATCAACTTTGGTATATTATTTTTAATTTAAGACTGAACCAAGAGGGGGATAATTGCTCACTCTCCTTCCTTCCTCACTCTGCCTGGCAGGTAGAGATATAACCATACAAATTCATCACATGTTCATAATGTTGGGGCATTGGGTCCTCCACCACTCCTTCCACTATGCTCGTGTCACATTTCGTTAATCTCCAAGAGACTTTGTCCAATTGAAAGCCAGATTTGAGAGACAACAAGGATTTTTAAGTTATTAAGTAGCCTATCAAGAGTACATTCGAAGTTAAAACCTCCCAACTCCTTAACGGGGCACGGGTGTTAGTCGCACTATTTCTAAAACCACCTAATTACACAGATAAGTGCACAATGCACATCATTAGGCACTAATAGAATTGCTTAAAGAATGAAGGCGACGATGTCAAACCCCAGGACAGAGGAAACCAATTAATCTCCACAACTCACAGAGAAAGCAAGCATTTTTCTCAAACCCCATTTGTCAAATCAACAAACTAAACACGAGGGGTACCTTCAACAGAATCCTGGCAACGGAGAGGAACATGGGAATCCCTCTTCCTCCACTTGATGAAATTTTGGTCTTCCCACACTTTGTAACCATTCTCGGAGGGAATCACAAGCTTAGCAGCCAATGAAGCCATAACCTACAGCCACAGCACTGATTTTAACCCCAAAAAAGCACAAATTGAACTGCCCCATCGAAAAAAACTTGATTAAAATCTGAGAGGATTACCTGGGGTTTGTGGATCAAAGAGAAGATGAACTGTTCGATGGGTCAGGGGAAGGATCGGACTTCAATTTCTGAAGAAATCCCTCGCATCTAAAATTGCCGATTCTCCACAGAAGCCTCGTTGACTAATTTGATGAATTTCAATGTGGGCAGTTTGTTCAAGGATTGGGCAACTGCGGAGTGGAGGACGTTAGTTATTTTCCAATCTTATCGCCAATGGGCAGTGTCGTTTGTTCTAGTTGGAAGAGTGTTGACTTTGTCCCCGTTTAGTTCTTCAATTACTGGAAATGAGTTATTAAAATCAAGTTTTTGATCCTCGATTCCCACATTAATGTGTGTTCTTATTTTTTAGTCTCTTCCGATTCGAGTCGTTCAGTTAAAAATTGATTACTAATGTTAGAGTATTATATTAGTATGATTTATATTATTAGTTTATACTACTAATTACTAATGCTAGAGTAGAATATTTGTATTTGTATATTTTATGAGAATAAAATTATCTGGTTCTCTCAAACTTTAGTATTTATATTCTAAAAAATAAAAATGTGGTATCACATTTGAGTGCTAAATCAAAATATAGAATGATAGTACAATCAGCGTGTGAATTAACATAGTTATATAAGCTTTGATTGAATTGGAATTTGGCATCATCATTCCAACTATACAATAGTGTGATAATCAAACAGCTCTTCATGAATGAATTAAATATGTCTAAGTCGATTGTCATTATGTATGTGAGAAAATGGAGTGAGGGTTGGTGTCTACAGAATATGTGAAGACCAGATAATGGTTAGAAGATATTTTCACTAAAGCATTGAATGGAGCACGAATAGATTATCTCTCAAACGAGTTGAACATGATTAACATATATGCTCCAATTTAGAGAGTGTTAGAATATTTATATTAGTATACTTTATATTGTTAGTTTATAATATTTATTAATTTGTCATTTATTGTTCTTTTACCTATCAAGTTTGTAGGTCAACCTTACATATTTATCTATATATATTATTAAGTAATGATAATATAATTATCAGATTCTCTCAAACTCGATCATTACAACTAATAATAATATATGTTATTGGGTGTTATCAACTATGATCCCTCCACTCAAATATTTCAAATACCAAACAAATTTCAAATAAATTTGGTTATTTGTTATAGCATAAAATAGAATGATATATATCAATCCAAACATAGTTTAGTGGATAAATACTCGTTACTCATATCATCCCAAAAATTGATTGTTTGATTCCCAACCTATAATTGTTGTACTAAAAAAAGAGTAAAAAAAGAGTAATTTTTCTTCTGATGTAAACAAGTTTTTCGATCAAAATAATCAAATTTAAAATAATTTTATCAAATTTGAAATCACTGTATTTAGAATAATTTCTTGAATTTTCTTGATCTTGAACAGAAACTTAGGTATAAATAATGTATAATATGAAGATAACAACGCAAACATTTTAATCACAAATTTCTTAAAATTACATTTTTAAGTTTTCAAAATTTGGCTTTAATTTTTGAAAATATATTTAAAAAGTAGATAGCAAAATAAATAAATAAAATAGTATTTAGAAGTTTAATTTAGAAAAAAAACTAAAAAATAAAATGGTTATTAAATGAGCCAAACCATTGGATATTAACAATATTTTTTATTTTTCTAATCTTAATGAATTATAAAATAAATCAACACTAACCAAAATATGAATGTTAAATTAGAATTATTAGAGTTAGTGTTTTGGAATTATTTTCTTAGGTAAAAATGTTTCCGGATCCAAATGATTGTATTTTGTATAATTTAAAATAATTTATTGAATTTCAAATCAGGATTTGAATTTATTTCTTGAATTTTATTGGTCTCAAACGGGATACTAAAGTATAAATAATGTATAATATGATCAAGATGAACACAAATATTTTAATCAATGAGTTTTTAAAAACTATTGTTTAAGTTTTCTTAATTTGACTTAGATTTTGAAGTTTTTAAAAAAAGAGATAACAAACTATAGGTATTTCATTAGTTCATAAGACTAAGTACCAAATTAATCAAAGATATCAATCCTTTTTAGAAATCGAATGGATTCGGAGAGTTCGATCCTGGCTCAGGATGAACGCTGGCGGCATGCTTAACAAAGGGAAAAAAATGTATTTATACAAAAATGTATTTAAGTTTAAAAAACAAAAAATAAAATGGTGCTCAAATAACCTTAAACTGTTCGATATTAACCATTTTTTTGTTTTAAAAAATTAATTATAAAATAAGTCCTGACTATTTAAAATTAATATCAAAACCAATATATTTTAATGATAATTAACATATATTTCAAATTAAGAGGATGTAAGTTCGATCTTCCACCCCACATATTGTACTAAAAAAACATTTTTTCTTTTAAATTTTTGGGTGGTTCTCCTACGCAACATGATTGGATAGACCACAAGGTTTTTTGATTATTCAATGACAATGCTACATAGTTAACATGGTAGAACCAATGTTTTAAATGTCGATAGATATTTCTAAAAAGATTATAAAAATAAAAAATTTGTAAAAATTATTTAAATGGACAAATAAACATTTTATTATTTCTAATAAATTAAAAATAAATACTAACATCATGTATATATAAGTGAGATTTTGTTGATATGTTTTATATTTTGTCGATTTTTTTTTGTAATATTACGAAAATGTCAATGTATCCATCATGTTGATATCAAACCCATAAATACATGGAAATGTCGACATACAGAAAGATATTTAATTAATACCATGTGTAGAACCACTCGATAACAATAAAAATTATACTCACTAATTTCACATTTTTAAATATACAAACTCTCTCCCCCACCGTCTCTTCTTAAAAAATTATCCTCAATTTAATTTGACGTTTTGTTTTATAAAAAATGTTAATATAGATTAGTTTATCTTATCTTAAACCGATGATCACTGTAATTCAAAGACACAACCTCAAAAACATACGTTTTGACGACTTTGACCAATCGATAGTGTGGTCGAAGTGAACCAATTTTCAAGTGGCACATTGACATTACTCCAACCAACAGTTAATATGTATTATAAATTCCATACAACATCAACTATCAAGTGTTAAATAAAGCAAGCACCATCCTTAAAAGCTTTGAATAACACTACCATATTGTTTCATGGGCCAAATACATAGGCAAATTCAGTGACCCTAATCTTGA